GTTCTGACAAGTGTGCGGTGAGAAGATTTGCCTGATCGCAGACACATTTGCGTTGTGCTGTGAAGTACCCGCTCATGAATATGGGGGTATAAGGGATGGCCTGGACGAATTTTACGAATAAACCGCTCGCATGCAGCTGCGCGGCGCGCCGAAAAGGTCTGAATGGCGGCCTTTTCAAGCGTATGATCGTATGGAAGGTCAGGCCATATAATAGAAAGAGCCCTTTTCTGGACGTCTTCCAGTGCATTATCCAGGTACTTTGGCAAGTAATCGCATAATTTGCATAAAACACAAGATTCTTGTGGTGAAATTGCGTGGAAGCACCTTTTAAACTGATTAAAAATCATCAGGTTTTTACTAGACTATGAGAGTGGTTCGTCAGCTTCGTCTCCATTCATAGTTCCCTTTTAAACAAACGATGATAATAAACAATCAGCAGAGCATGACATTTACATGGAGCTCGGTTGGATAGAGCGGAAGAAGAACCAAGTGAATTCATATTTATGCCATTGGCTGTATTTCATTACTCATAATCGTCTAAAAATTCTTAAATTTTCTAAACATCTCGTTTGACTCTAAAACTTCTAAAAAACTACAGAATTTTTGTATTTAGCTCGATCGATTAGGTTGATTTTAAATTCGGATTAGAAACTCTGTTTTACTTCTAAATACTGAGAAAAGTTTCGCAACAACGGATCAAGAATTAAGATCAAGCCAAAGTGGCTTTTCAAAAGTACTTTCATAGATCTGTCATCACTCCAGTGGAATCATTTACCATATTTCAAACATGGTCCCCAATAGAACCGTCACCATCCATCATAGAACTACTGAGGGCTCCCGTGAATATTTGCATCTAGAGCTCTGATTAATTTCCGGCTCCATTTATGAGAATTTCGCTTTCACAGTTTAATTTGATTATGATTTCTTCACTGCAGAGAAATGACAAAAGATGAGGTCGGGTAAAGGATAGATCAAATACTTTTTGCTTTATGAGTCGTTCATTGTCTTTGCTTGATTTGACCTAATGGTGTCGACACTGATATTTAGTATCAAAGACAAGGATCTTAGTCTTATACACTGTTCACCTAACGACGTTAGCAAGATTTTAAGTGAGTTGAAACCTCGTAAATCTCCTGGTCCGGACAGTATACATTCCATGATCTTAAAGAAATACGCTGGAATCCTAGCTTCCTCGTTAAGTGATGTTTTTAATGTGTCTTTTATATCGGACATGTTACCACACAATTGGAAATTGGCTGACATCACTCCTTTGCATAAGAAAGGCGCTAAAACCAATCGAAAGAACTATCGTCCAGTCTCACTGACACCAGTGGTGTGCAAAGTGTGCGAAGTGATAGTAAGACAGCAGCTTGTCCACTTTTGGACTGCAAACGAGGTCTTTATTCCGGAGCAATTTGGCTTCCTGAAAGGGAAATCTTGTCTTTATCAATTTTTATCGTCGTTTCACGACTGGGCCCGTGAGAGAAACAAAGGCTTGTCAACTGATGTTATATTCTTAGACCTTTCAAAAGCGTTTGACTCAGATGAGTGCCACAAGAACGCCTTTTGACAAAGATATACGCTTATGGTATCCAAGGCCCACTCCTGTCTTGGCTCAGATGTTTTCTTACCAATCGATACCAGCGCGTTGTTCTACGGGGACATCACTCATCTTGGACTTTAGTTTCGTCTGGTATACCTCGTGGGACCGTACTCGGGCCGATTTTATTTCTCATTTATATTAATGATCTTTGAAGAAACATTATGTCAAACACAAAACTCTTCGCAGACGATATGGAGGTGTATAGGATACTCAGGGATACTAAGGAAGATGTTGAAGAATTACAGAAAGATCTTATTAAGCTGGAATCTTGGAACAATGACTGGCAGCTGAAGTTTAACACAGATAAATGCGAAGCAATGCGCATTTAAAAAAAGAATGATTTCTCAAGTCCCCAATACTATTTATGTGGTAACCAGTTCAAAGCTGTATCTGAAGTTAAATACCTCGGAATCTACATTACTTCGAACTTTTCGTGGAGTATGCAAGCTAACAAATGCGCAAACAGGGCAAACAGTGTACTTGGATTCATAAGGCGAACGGTGGGTTCTAAAAACCCTGAGGTGTTTTCTAAACTTTATGCCTAGCCCGTCCGATACTCGAGTACTACTCCCCAGTTTGGTGTCCGCACCTTAAAAAAGATTCAAACACCTTGGAGAAGGTACAACGTAGAACATCCAAATGGGCCCTAGGAAAAATTGGGTAAGATATGACCTACGAAGAGCGCTTAAAACTTCTTAAATGGCCAACACTTGAGCAAAGAAGATTATTCTCGTCACTTACCGAGTGTTAAAAGACAATAAATAAACTTACTGGACTTGATCCCTCGGCACTTTTCACGTTTGCACACGATTTTCGGCCTTTAAGAGCCAATCACCGTTTTAAACATAATAATTTGGATATATCAACAAAGTTGAAATGGTAAATTGGCCACCGTAACGATTACAAAAGCTGACGTTTCGAGCGTTAGCCCTTCGTCGGAGCTGTTTCGTCGGAGTTGTTTTAAACATAAGTTTGCATCAGCAACCTTAAATAGTTTCAAATATTCTTTTTTTATACGTATAATTAATAGTTGGAATAATCTGCCAAAGGAAATCGCTGAGGCGGAAAATTTGAATATTTTTAAGAATAGACTGAGAAGTCACCGCGTAAATTTTGCTACTTAACACTAAGGTCTTATTTTTGATTATTATATATCTATGATTGTATCTTAATTAATGTCATAACATATTTTATTACTAGGAGATAAACTAGAAAGGGATAACCTCTTTTATCTCCTTTTCACTTTTTATTGATTGTGAATAAACATTTATTATTATTGTTATTATTATTATTATTATTATTATTATTATTACTATCCCCTCAACGGTGAAAGACGTTAAAATCATCCTCTCTTAACTAGCACTCTTGACTTAAAATTATGCCTGTTGCAATAGTATAACCTGCCAACTCACAAGCGTCCCGATTACTCCCATTTTAGAATCTGAATAACAATCTAATAATAATAATAATAATGGTCTTTATTAAGAATTATTGTGCAAACAGACGTGCAACAATTAACATGAATAGAATATCAGCATCCCCCCTGTGATTACATAATGTTAAAAAAAACACATAATGAGTTGGGGGGGGGGGAGAAAGAGATTCAGAGCCGTCTTAAATCTTGCAGCAATTAAGTCAGGGTGGTTCTTTGTCCTTAAGACTTAGATATTGGTTTAAAATACTCAATGATTTCTTACGCTAATTCCTCGCATATAATTTATTACTGTTACAGTGTTCATATGTTTTGACGAGTCTTCGCTTGTGTACCAGAAACTCATGGGGTAACCGACAGTGTACGACACTATTCTTCATTCCTTTAAAACTAAGAGAATTTCTTCTTTGAATATATTACACTTTTTCGCGGCAGTATGAGTTATGAAAGATACATTCGATCGAATAGCTGATTGATGAATTATTAATTATGGAACAAGTACTTTCTTCCACACGTTCTACTCTATAAATAAAGGGCCTCACGGAAGAACAGTTTTAAATTGTTGATGATCTCGTGGTGTGACGCACCGTATCACCTGTAACAAACTAATTAAGTTTTCAAGTGTTTACGTCACTGTGTCGCAGTTCACTGCAAATAACACTCTGAACTGGTTTGACAAATTGAAGAAACTCAGGTAATTTTGCAACGATGTCTTCAGGCTTCCAATTTTCATTCTTTAATTGTTCGTCCCAGTCTTTGCAGTGTAGATGCAGATCAATCTGCAAAAGAAAAAGACAGTCCATCGTTTACATGCTGAAAATGATACGAGTCAACAAAACACTGAAAACCGAGACTCTTCATGATTGGCCTTTAGTAACATTGTATTGTTTTGTCAGGTTACTCATGAAGGCGAGTATTTATTTCATTACAACACAGTGAGCGCCTAATTCAATAGGCAAGGATGTTATTCATAATGATGATGATCATAATTTTAGTACCGTCTCTCTTTTCTCTTCTTCCTCTATATCGCTGGACAACGATATCTCTCTAGAAAGGATAACTAAAAATCCAGCTTGTGGTTCGAATATAGTTCGATGAGAGCATCGTCTGTGACGTAGAAATAACTCCTTCGACAAAGATTCCTCGGCAGGGAGATTTGGTCCATTCACTTCGTCGTCTTCGGTGAACGTAAAAGTTATGTTGGACAGATATGACAACAGAGCTCGTCTTTCATTTTTGTCTAGATCTGCAGCATAGCCGGTAGAGACGGCATCATCTATAAGAAAAATATAATCTTAATATGTTTGGAAAAAGTTTAAACAAACCAGACTTAGACTGGTGTATTATTGACTGAAAAGCAACTGAAAAGATTTGCATTTTGGAAATGGTATCTTAAATTGTATACGTTGTTACGTTAATTTCGATACTTCGGAAGCTCGAATAACCTAAAATTATTTATACATTGTAGTCACCATCAGTCTTCTCATTGGCTAAACGCCCACAGTCAATTCTGAGAAACAGCGCAACCTATAGATTATTCACTAATCTGTATCTACAGATTAGTGAATAATCTGTAGGTTTCGCGCGCAATGCATGATTTCCGGTGGAGCAGTATCAAGTTCACGGACAGCGAAGTAAGAATGGCTTCTCGATTCGCTTCATCGACCCTGCGAGAAATTGAGAAATTACGTGAAGATAAAGATTCAGAAAATACTAAAAGATCGACAGTTTTCTTCAATGATACTTTCTTTAGAAATGCAATTAGCTTTTCTGCAATTGATTGTTTTATAACAAACGGTGAAAATTTGTTTACCACACAGTTGTACATTTTTAAGTGTTCGAAAATAAACTGTGTTCGCTGCGATAATGCGTTTGGCGTCATTTTCTTTAAAACAATGTATAATAAAACAGTTATTGGATGAGGTTTTTGTGATATCCAGAATAATCAAGGTCTCGGTTAGTGTTATCAGCCGAAGCCGAAGGCTTCGGCTGATAACACTTACATCGACCTTGATTATTCCGGATATCACAAAAAGCCTCATCCAATAATTGTTTATAATCCCACATATCCATGCATTACTTCTTTTATCTAATTCCTTTCGGATTAATTAATCTTTTTTTATTAAAACCCTCCTAAAATTTCTAACTTGCTCATTTCATTGTAACTCCTTGAGAGTTCAAAGTTACACGGACCGGCAAACTGAAATTTAGTATAGAACATTTTCCTTACGACGCTGATACCACGTGCTATGACCAATAGTATTCCCATCGGTTATTTGATGTTTCATGGCAGACAAAGCTTTTTAAAACGCATTTTACGGTTTATTCCCAAAATTTTGGCAACTTGAATTAAGATTGTTTACTAAAAAAAACAGTGGATGACTTAAGAAAGAAAATACTAAAATAACACTAACCACTTCGTTCTCGTAAAGTTATTCTACAATCAAACTCGCTTCCAGGAAACAAAATGTCAGCCTGTAGAAACCTACGAGATGGAAGGACCAGCCATCCTCGGCACCGCGAGCGTGTTTTTTCATCTTCGAAGTGAATTTCTTCGATTATGTTTTTGACGTCACAAAATGGGACTGCTTTCTCTTTCACTGTGTTGTCAGCGTCCTTGTTCAGTACCCATATCTGTTGTACAGAACAATAATCATGTTACGACTTTTAAAAGGAAACAATAACTTCAAGTGACCCCTTTTCTACCATTGTTACCAGGTTATCATTCAATTCATCTTAACTTCCATAATTCATGCTTTGGGTTACCATTTTAAACGGTGTCCTTCTGCAATCAAACAAATGTAAGTGCTTGCATCCTAGGGTTGAAAATAGTTTCTAAATTTTAAAATGAGCCTACACATATAGGCTACTAAAAAGATAAGTTTTCCGCAAACCGTAAATTGAGCCAGACAAATATAATCTTTAAATGATACAAAATCAGCCATTAGGTCTAGAATCCTAAAAAACTGGGTTGTAAAACCTGTATTAAGCTGGTTAAAATTTCCTCCCTGCACCCCTTCTCCATACCTTCCCCTTCAATTCGTGTCCGCTGGATACAACGAAGGTCAAGTCATATCTTGCATAATATTCCCTGGGGTACTTCTGACCGAAGTTTCTCTCTAAGACGTGCTTGTCAACATTAACACCTTCTTGAAATGCGATTTTCCAGTAATCCTGTCCTTCCTGAGATTGTAATTTTTTTGTTGCTTCTTCGACACTCCATTGTTCTTCACCTGAAACCTCCTCTGTAAGCAATCAAGCGTTCATATTAGTATTACAGGTACTACAGGTTTAGCCGAAGCCAACTTCAGTTCTTAACTATAAGAATGCTACCGGTGAGTCTCCAGTGTATTTTGATCATTATTCTTGCTTATTCGCATTTAGATGAGCGATCAGCAAAGCTAGGAGATACGTGGAATAGATTTGATTTTTTGGTAATTTTTTTGTAAGTTTCATTACATAGTTATTCGAAGACGTATTAATCAAATACTTTAAAAACGAAGAGTCCATTAATACTTACGAAAATAAAGCTGTAAGAGTCTCCTACCACAGATCATAATCAGTAACTATACCTTCATCGGGTCCGCGAATAATTACTTTTCCAAAATGACACCACATGTCCGCCCGCGACCCCTTTTCCCTTTTGATCCTGCCCAGAGATTGCAAAGCATCTTCTTTCAGCCTCGACTCGTATGCCGTGCTATCACTACAACTTGATTCCTGAAAAAACAAAACAAAACAAAACAAAAAAATACAAAACGGAGGAAAATCTTTTACTAATTTTCTTGAATAATTAGCTACTATTAACAACTAGATGGCTAGTGGTGGATATCCACTGTTAGCCAGCGGCACCGAGGTTAATAGTTGTTTTGGTATATGATAAAACATTGATAAAGAACACCAAAATACGATTTTAACTCACCTATCCCTGCAACGAATATGATATTTTTGGGTGCGAATCCCGAGCGGGTAGTTCAGAGGTGAATATCAAAAGATATTCGGAGTTTGAGTAGCCAATCAGAGCACGCCTCTGACGTTATTCATGGTTTTGTTATATAAGAGCCTTTAGTAGCCCTCCCTCTCCACAACCCGTAACCAGTTTGAACCATGATTACTCATTGGAGATCTACTATAGGAATTTAAGTCAATGATGGTAAGTTTTTTCAAAGCTGTGCTGCTAATTAACTACCTGAAGAAAGTGACAAGTGATAGTGACTGATAATTATGTATAAGATAGTTTGAAGGTTGGTGCTGGCATGTTAAAGCGTATTATGATAAATATCTGACGTGAGAATACACCACACAGGTTAATGGTACTTTTCGTGCGCGCCTATTGGTTGGTTTGGAAGTGAATAGCAACTACCATTCACCTCCAAGCAGGCAGAAAGACAAAATCGTGCGACAACAATTTAATTTCCGACCATTTTTCGGTATATTTACGGAAATAGACCAATATTTTGCTAAATGTGTGGCACATACTAAGACAAGTGTTTACCTCAGTGTCGTTGAAAGTGGTGAATAATTGGTGAATAATTGTAGAATATCATAACCGAGAAAAAGAACCAAACGACTTTATCAAAAATCATCAAAACAATAAAAATAAACTTACAAAAACCGCTGAAGACGAAACAAAAACAAAAAAATAGAATAACTAGAACGGGACAAAAAAAAAAAAACAGCAACAGCAGCGGAAGCTGTCGATCATGTCTTTTTTACTGAATTGTCGTCTTCCGAGTAAACAAACCTGCAATGATTCATATTCCTCGACCGGTTGCAGTCGATATTGTTTATCTTTTTCCAGAAGACACAACCAACTTTTCAGAGGCTCCAGTTTTAACTTAGAATTTTCCGGAAGACTCCAGCCATCGATATAGCAACAAACCTTATTGCAGGGCTTTTCAACTCCCCTTAGCCTTGCCCCTGCCTTTAGATAGAATAATCAAGGAGTTAAAATAAATTCAGTATATTGCAAACAAAGATGATAACTTGAATTTTGGATTGCCGCTTTAATCAGCGAGATATTATAACAGTGCAAGATTTAGTACTTTTCCCGAAATAATTATATAATAACGATTATGGCACTGACTTATATCAGTTTTACATATTATGACAAATAAAAGCGCCAGAAATGGAAAATGCAGTTACAGTTTTGCGGAAAATTTCTTGAGAGGCAATCCATTTTCATTTTCTGCATATACCACATTTATCGATGAATCGATTTTCTCAGTGGCCTATATTGCAGATGTAAATATACGACCAATTAGATTGCATATTTTCATGCTGATAGATAGATTGATGCCCTTAACCTGTTCACGTGGATTTAATTCCAGGCAAAGACAGACAAACAAATTTCCTTTAAAAGGAAAATTTCTCACGAAATGGTACAATTTCGGCAACTCGTAAAAGTATTCCAAACACTTGTTTCAGAAACTATTAGATTAAGTTCTGAGTTCGAATTGATCAGGACAACTGAACTGTGGACCTCGGTATAGAAGGCGATACTCACCACTTTACTCCAAATACGTAATTTTGCCATATCTCTCTGAGACTTGCTACCACTCGTTATATACACTTCCCCTTGTATACGAATCATTGTTGCCCCGGTCTGTGTCATGATTTCTTTGAGGGTATCGCCTCCAGCACCAAAGGCAATTCCTTTGTAGTCATCTGGAATTTTTATCAATTCACCGGGAGTTCCTTCTGTTTTCCTTCTCTTAACTTCCTCCTGTTAATATCATACAGAAAACAAAGACCTCAGAGTTGAAAAATAGTTCTCATGATGTAGAGAGATATACTATGAAAATGTTGCAAATTGCCCAACTACTAACGACTAAAGGTCGGCATCCCTGAGCTCCCATAAGTGATTGTCAAAGACAAGGTAAAGGGCTGAAATTTTCATCTATGCAAAATTTTATTTATCTGACAGACAATTTATTGGGCAATTTCATTACCTCATTTCGAGTAAAAGGATAGCCTGATGCAATTGCAGTTCCTTCTTTTAAGTTATTTTTTCGTAAAACGGTGAAAATTCATAGAACCTTTCCAGGTTTTAAACTTACCACTTTTTCTGAGATTAATCTCTTCGCAAGTATTCTTTGTTCCGTGTTACCAGTGATGGCAAATCCTTCATCATCTTTGCTCCTCGAAGTGATATTTGCCCCAGAACTGTTTCTTATTTTCTTCATCACTAGTCCTCCTCTTCCAATAACATGACCTTTGAATTCCTTAGGAACGTACAGATATTCGCTGCCCATTGTCCTTTGAGGGTTTATCAATACAATCTGGGGTTATTTTCTTAAAACCATAAAAAATGGTTTTGTTCCATGAGCAGTTTTCCTTTCCGAAGTCGATATTGGGAAAGTTGACATGAAAAGTATTCCCTCTTTTTGTTTTTCCATTGAAAAATGCTTTTGGCTGCGTTCATTTATGATTTTGCATCTGAATAGTTTACAAGTACAAGTACATGCACTGCAATGTTTCCCATATCTCATCGCAAACATGGCCTACAGTTAATATGAAAGATTATTGTAATACGATACATTGTGCATAACCTAACTGCATAATAAGACACGATATGAGTAAATGGGGTAAGTGTCCAAAGCAAATGTGGTGCCGCGTTGGTGTGGGTATAATTTGGTTTTATCCATTGAGTTGATAGTGCAAATTGGCCACCGCAAGGAGCTGCGGGATAACGCTGACTAAGGGCGGCTAACACTCGAAACGTCAGCTCTAGAAGCTCTTTACTGTGGCCAATTCACGAAATCGACTCAGTTATATAAAACAAAATTATGTTAAAACAACCCAATAAAATGGGTGAGAGTTTTTGAAGAATGGTATGACAAAACTTTCCGCGAGAAAAACTTCAGCAGGGTTTTTGGGTTTTATAAGAAGTGGTTAAGCGGCGTGTAAAGAATAGGCACCAAAAGAGCTCAGGTGCCAAGAGGTGAATAACGTATACTCAACTGCTGTTCTACCTGAAAAAGAGGTATTCATTACCTCTTGAAAGTAAAGGACAGAGAAAATTGGTCAAAACTTCCAATTCTGGCAGCTTACCGTCGTCAAAGACCTTAATCAGACAATAATTCATATGCGTTCTGTCAAAACGCCTGTAGAATGATACTTTCATTTCACCGATGACCATTGGTTTTTAAACGCTCTGATCACGCAATAAATTACTCATCATCAACTTTGCTGATAAACAAAAATATTACTTTAAATCAAAACAATAGCCAAACCATTCTTCGATAAACTTAAACGAAGCTAAATTACACTTTTTTGTTAAGGTTGTCGTTAAGTGTATTTAAAATGAAGAGTCGCTTTCTGAACGAATATTTGATATAATTGTCTTACCGTTTTGCGTTTGATTCCATATGAACAGAGGTGCTTGTAAAATAATTTATCCAGCATCGATCGATACAACACTGGTAGTGATCGAGATAAAGCCGGAAGTACCTCTGGTGTTGCTGAAAACCTTGATCTGAACACTTGGAACACTTCGGCTATCTCAAAAGCTGGAAACAATGGAATCTTTTCCTGGCTCACTTTTATCGATGACAAATACTCAAAATTAATACTCGCTAGCTAAATATTTCTCTCCTAATTGACATTTGTTGCGTCTTGTCACCCGCAGATCGACTTCAGAGCCCGCAATATGCTTTTCCAGCGAACAAGACTTAACTATGTCATGTACAATATACCCAAATTCCCTAGAAGAGTATTTTCTTTAATCATTTGCCATCGGCTCACTTAAATCTTAAAATGTTTTCTTTGGTGGTTCGTAGTGTGAACGATAGGACAATAGAAACAGTCATCCAACATTTTTTTGAAATGACGAAAACGTGTTCGTGCAAAACTGACAACATCAATTAAGATTGCTGCGCAAAAAAATTAAAACAAAAAACTATCCAAAACAGTGTTAAACTTTGTAACGAGCATCTTCTTTCCAATTGATATCAAGAAATGGAAAAAGAATAGTAAGCCATAAGGCTGCAAAGACAGCGTACCAAACTCAACGTGAATGAATTGCGTGACATTTTCTTCCTAGGATGCACTGCGGCCGTAGTTTGTATCGGCAGTCAATGATTAGACTTCCATCCCGGAAGTATTCTGAGTTTACTCGCAGTGGACCGATTTGAAGATTTTTAAGCGTAGTTGCTATTTGGGGAAGATAACTACACTAAGGAAATGATGTGGTAAGCATAAAATGTATTTGAGTTCGTTATGTTCAAGATTAATGATCGATTATTCGACGAGCCGTATGTGTATACATTGTTGAAAGCTGGAATTTCGGTCAATCTAGAGCGAGTAAGATCACTTGTCCTGTTTCCTAACATATTGGAAACTTTAATTATTGAAGGACATGAAAGTACGTCTTTTATGGTAATTATCGTTGTTCACGTATGATGCGCGATCCTCGCAGTTGAGAGCGCTGTTCAATCGAACTGATTTATTAAGATGTGTACAGCTGGCAAAATTAAAAACCTGCGTCTGCTAACAATATTGTTACTCAAAGCTATCAAGGCAATTATAGATTTCGTAATATCTTATTTTCAAATGAAAAGTAACTCTCTGTGTTTTCCTTGTTTTTTCCCTGCTATGATTTAGATCATCTTTTCGACATGCTTGTTTAATCATTTTTTAGATCTCTTCTTTAATGTAAATTACAGAAACGGTCAAGTGAGTACTTGTGTTAAGTATCAAAGAGTTCCGCCACTGATATAGAATCTAATGATGTTCGATTCGTCGCCGATGTTTTCGAAAATTAAAGGGACTTTACTTCATATTATTAAACGCTTCATCTTCACATGTTTGTGAAAATCTTAATAAGTCAAGTTTTATTAATATTAAAATTTGTTTATGTGTATTTATGATCGTCTTTGACGGAAGAATTTGATTTTGAGTATAAGCAAGTCGTATTACGTTCTCTTTCATCTTTCATGATTAAAATCGTGACCCTTGTGAAATTAGGAAAGTTTACAAATAGTACCTTTGCGACGATTTTTTAAAATTCTGCGCATTCGTTTGTTGTATGTCATTCCCTAACCACCTTCAAATTCTGTGAAATTCAATTAATATTAAAAACGCCAAAGCTTACTTGCTGCTACTCTTTGTATTGAACTGATCTCTGGCAGAAATAAACTTTATTGGCGAGCCAGGAAAACGAAATGATGGTAATGTATATGTTTAACTTAGTAATAAAGCCTAACAGGTCGCAAATAAACATTAAAGATAATGTAACGTTGGTATGTCCGAACAGTTTTACTGAGTGCGTGACACAGAATATGGAATAATTAATTGCGAAGATAATTCATCCATAGCAGTTGCAAATGCAACTTTATTCTTCGACGAAAGGTTGCAGCGAAATCTATTGAGACCCTCACTCGATTCGTTAAGTTGAGATGTACGATTGCATGGGAGATCAAACAAGATCTCTGATTCGTTCAATGTAAAGGCAGCAACTGACAATTTTCAAAAGTAAATTAATAAGTTTCGTGATTTATACTGAGTGATAGGTAGACGTATTGCATAATTATACAAGCACGTGAGCCCTGGGAAGTAAGGTGCCTCAGTGCCAGCATTACTTTTCTGTGTTCAGTCAATGAATCATTGGACTTAGTGACAACAATTAGTCTTGGTTCCTTGTTTGAGGTTTGGTAGATATTTTTATATGCCTTGCTGATGGTAGGTTTTATCATAGTTTTAAGAGCGTGTCCACTAGAAAAATGGGCAGAACCGGGCAGGGGCGATAAACCTCAAATGACCGATTTGGCTCAAACTTGGTACAAATGCTAAGTATCATGAGTTAACAAATGTGTGAAAAAAATAGGTCTAAATATTTCATTTCCTGGAAGATATAGGGTCCCCATGAGAAAACCCCCATTTCCTGCATTTTTTGCATAATCAATTAGCTAACTTTGCATTGCTGCTGTGAAAAACTGAAAATACATCTGCAAATTCAATCAACTGGATTCTATTTCATATCTATCAGACTTTTAGAAAATTGAATTGTTTTAACTTTTTCATTTTATTTCTTCCCTTATCTCTCGCTTAAGTAAAGACGACTTTTTCTGGTTTTGACACAGTCCAAAAATAAGGGTACTTTAAGGCCCAATATCTCCGATGAGCAACTACTTCTAATCATTATTCCTATATTGGTAGTGAAAGCCATCACTGAACTTCCAAAATCAGGAACAAAATTTTTGGGAAATTTATTTCATAGCCCGTGCTGACGTGAAAGTTACATCTACCTCTTGCTTTTTAGTCTCTATCATCGACAAATCTCTAGTCTTTATTGAATATACAAGTAAAAATACATACCTATATTTACATGTTTAAATTATTAATTAAAAAGTTAAAAAGCGAAAGAAAATTTAAAATACAGTCTAGTAATGTAACTAGCTTTGAAACGTTCTGTCTTGACACAAGGTAGTAGGCTTGTTTGAGTTCTCAAACGTTTGGAAGATTCTTTAACTTTGGGCAACAAATTGTACAGTGGATGAGTAGGCAGGCAACTAATCCTCTTTGAGATTGACCTATCTGTTTTCTCAAGCAAATCATATATATCGATAACATAGGATATAAAACTGCGTTTATGACATCTACGAAGGAACCGCTGCACAGTATTAAGTTCAGGCACAGAGGCTGCATACACCGGTAAACCATACGAAATTTTAGGTAAAACTAAAGACTGAATCAGATAATCAATTTCCGCTTGGTTATATCCTTTCTTCCTTAAGCTCCTTAATGTATAGAGGCACTTATTCGCTTTGGAGAGTTTTCGTTTAATGTACTCTGTAAATCTTCCATTGTTTTGGAAAGTCACTCCGAGTAGCGCTAGAAATTCGACCTGCTCGATATTACCAATAGGACTAAGATTTACTTGTCCCTTCTTCTTCAAAACTAATTCTTTACAGATACAATGAATATATGTGACCAGGCACAAGATTTCGTACACTAACGCTTTTTCGTTAAACGGTTGAAAATAAACGGTTTGTAAACGGATAATAAACGGGTAGTAAGAGTGTTTAAACGGTTTGCATCTCCATTCAAACGGATAGTCCAAAGCGTTAAACGGTAGAGCAAAGTCCAAAAACGGATTCTGTAAACCGTTACACGGCCGAGAAAAAAAATAAACGGATGGCTTAAAACGTGAAACGGTTGAACAGAATCTATTAAACGATAGCTTAAAACGTTAAACGGATGGACAAAAACCTTGAACGGATAAGGAGAGCTAAAGAACAGGGGGATAAGCCACGCACATAACAAACAGAAACCGTTGCGAACAATTATACGAATAATATTGTTCTTGCGGAACACTGACGTTTCTTGCTATTATTATATTCGACTGACACCAATAGAAAACGAAGTAAAATTAAATTACTAGC